CTGATGTCGTAGGAGAAAACATTTATTAAAAAGTCTATTTAAGTAAGTAGAACGTGTTGTCTGTATTTATTTAAAGTTGCGCATTTTGATGCGACGTCACATTTCTCAACCCCCCTCTCTCTCTCGTCACACATCGTCACATTAATGTCTGACCCCCCCCTCTCCCCCCCGAGGTGCGTGACGTCATTTATGGCCGTTCCCCTAAGAGAGGTAAATATCGGGTCAGGGTGTGTGTGTTTTTTTCGCTTTAGCGATACGCACACATCGACTCACGTGGGTAAGGATCGACGCTTGCGAGATTCGTATCTGCTGCGTTGAATGGTTTTGCGTGACCCCTGCAAGCCACGGAATTTTATTTTATTATTTTATTTTATTGTTATTTTATTATATTCTTTTATATTATTATTTTATTATATTATATTATTTTATTATATTATTTTATTTTTATAATTTCCCTTCTACGTGACTTTACCGAAAGAACCAAGAAGATGAATCCCTGCAGTCACGAAAGCTTTAAATCGAAATTTAAGCCACGGAATGTCGAGTCGTTCATTTCAGTGTTAAGAAATAAATAATGGCCATCGATTGTTTCGTTAATTCGTGACAATTTCGGGCAGCTCCCCTTTTATCCGCTGAAAGCTGCGCCTAATAGGATGACATTAGGAATAATACTCGGTGCGCGGATAAACAGGAAGGGTGAAATATCACGAGGATGGATAAGAGAGGTTTGCTTCGCTGTACCATGCTAGCCACACGGCAGAGGTCGCAAACGGGTTTTGATTCCTTACCCGTACCCGGCCGCACCAGGGTCGCAAACGGGTACCCGTACCCGGCCAGGTACGGGTACCCGTACGCTACCCGTACCCGTACCCGTACCCTACCCGAAATGAGTGACAAACGGTTACTCACCGGTGACTCACGGCCTACCCGTACCCGTACCCGGCCGCACCAGGGTCGCAAACGGGTACCCGTACCCTTACCCGGCCGGGTACGGGTAGCCGGGTATCGGGTAGGGTACGGGTATCGGGTACCCGGTTGCGACCTCTGCCACACAGCGGTGTTTGACTGGCGGTGGACGAATGGTAAATCCATTTCCCGTTTTGCTTTTGATTTCTGCGCGGACAGCAACCGACGTCTCCGTAAACAAATCTTCGGGGCAAAATTATTGAGCCCATTCGTGCTCCAAATCGACGGTTGGAAAAAAGAAAATCCCTCTAAAAACCGATCCTCGTCTTGGCGAGGAACGGGGGAGAGGGCGAGAGATTTTCACTCAAGCGGCATTTGCCGTCAGCTGGACGTCTCCAAATGAAATAAGTATAACCCGTAAAAACAAAGTTTTTCACTCTAAATCCTTTATATGCGTGGCGGCTAGAGTCCTCTCATCCTCTGGCTTGAGATGGCTGCCACCTATGGGTCAGATGATTGTCTGCCAGTATTAAACAATTGGTAATTAAATATTTAATTTGTTTTCCCTAAACAGTGTAAAATTTTAGAAAAAAAATTTCACGAACATTACTTGTCTCGCACAACGAGTCTGTGTGCAAAATGTCAGCTCGATTGGATCACGGGAAGTGGGTTAAAAAACGACCGAAAGATTTGCACGGTCGTAAGCAAGCAAGCAAGCACGCAAGCAAGCAAGCGAACTTAATATAAAGGATTTAAAAAGTTATTCATCACGGTCGACGCCTCTTGAAAAGGATTCTCACACCGTCCATCGCAATGCCCTGCCAACTGGGTGGCAGGCAGCCATCGCTCGCACAACTTGTGAGCGTGAAGCGTTTTCACCGGCGTGTATGTTTTATGGTCTTTACAACAACAACAATTTAACGCTGCCGTACGGTAAATCACTCTTCTCGACAACTGACAACGATTCGGGAGGCACAAGGAACCGCGGACGAGCGGGAAGACAGCGAGCATACTCTTTGGTTGTTTCGGTAAAGTCACGTAGGTAAAAAATAAAATAAAATAAATGAAAACAACTAAATTAAATCACGACGTTTCGGGTGCAACACAAGCGTTCTTCTTCAGGTGGGGACAACGTAGCGAAAGCACAACCGCTTAAGTGATTTAATTTAGTTTTCATTTATTTTATTTTTTATCTACGTGACTTTAAACAAAGGAGTATGAATCCTTGCAGTCACGAAAGCTTCAAATCTAGAAGACAGCAAGCGGCCAGGGCTGTGAGCCGGCACTAACAATTTCCCAAGCTCAGTGGGGTCCTCAATATATTGAAATGTTTTTTTTAGCAGACCCATTTATGAATGTTCGCACGTGGCAGGAAACCGGAACACCCAGTCAAAACCGCGCGTGCGAGGGAGAAACACTCGATCCCATACGGAAGTCACAGATATCTGTCCAAAATGTTGCTGTTCTGCCTTCTCCTGGCAAGCTACGGTACGGCGCCTTGACAACCTTTGGAAGGCAGAATCACAACATTCGTGTGATCCACCATGGGGCTGTCGCATCATACTTCACCACAATGGTCAGCGCGGGCTGGAGA